GGAGTTTTCCCTGGAATTGTTGGTTCTTATTTCTCCATTAATACAAGTTCCCTATTCCTTCCCCATTTCATCTACTGTTATTATTATTCTATTTTCTGTTCTTCATCAGGATACATATACAACTTTGTTGGTCTAGTGAACTTGATGCGTAAGTTCACGAATCAAAGGAACTTGCATAGGCCCGCAATCACAAGATTTGCTATATCTTTTATCACTCTTCTTCAATCTCCAATCTTGTGGTTGTGAGAGAGGGATTATCCCTGGAATTTTGATTGTAATCTGTTCTTTTCAAGTTCAATAGAATCACCTTTTCCTTACCTTAATTTCTGTGTTCTTATTCATTTTATATTGAATGAGATCAATTACTCATCAGGTTTCAGATATTTCATTACTTTTATAGATGATTTTAGTCGCTTCACATGGATGTACATGTTAATGCATAAATCTCAAGCCATTGATTCCTTTCGTGATTTTAAGGCTCAAGTTGAGAATCATTTTTTTCAACATCAATAAACTTTTTCCAGTGTGACGGTGTGTTAGAACTAACTCAAGGTCAAATGGGTACATTTCTTTCTGAGTCGGGTGTCACTCCACGAATCTCATGTCCATATACTCCTCAACAAAATGGCGTCGCTGAACGCAAAAATCGTCATTTATCAAAAATGCCGGAGCTCTACGTTTCATGTTCACTTGCTGTTGATTCCCTTATACTGATCTTTCTAATTATAGAAACACAGATTTAATCACACAGATAAGAACAATGTAAAATGGATCAAGAAAGTTGGCATGTCATTGATCATTTAGTTCGAGTAGATGAGACAGAATCTAGAGAGAGAATCTAGAGAGAGAAACAATTACAAGATCGTGCAAAGAATTACAAAGTGAGAGTACATATGAATTGTTATCTAAAAGACTCTCAACTAACTCTATTTATACATTAAAGGAAAGACTAAAACATGTCATTTACAAAACAAACTAATCTATACATGACATGTGTTCTAATATCATACAATCTTCATGTCTTCGATATTCAAGAGTTAGAGGAACTAAGAGTGAAATCTTCTAAGTACCGAACTCTGATTATGCCTAATCAGAGTTATCATCCGAACTTTAAGTCGCTAGTCCCGATCTCTGTAGTCTTCATCACTTGAGCTATCTTATCAAACTTTAGACTAGTCCGAACTCTGGACCTTCTTTCCAGACTTGACACTTAGAAAATTTACATTTCTGTCGAACTCTCGACCTTCTATCCAGATCTCAGGACCTTCCTTCCAGAGATAGACACTTAGGCTTTATTGAACATTAAACCAACTTTGGTGAAACTTCACACTTGGCAAAAATATTCTGGTATGATGCATATGCTTCCGCAACCTTCTTAATCAATCATCTATCGTCTCATGTTCTCTCTCACTCATCACCACATGAACTTTTGTTTGATGAGCAACCAAACTACACAAGCCTTCGCACTTGGTTGTCAGTGTTATCCATTTTTTGGGATCTACTCGCGATGATAAATTGTCCACACCAAATCGGCTGCATGTGTTTTCCTTGGATATGCTCCATTTCATAAAAGTTATCTCTGTTATGATTCTACGTTGTTCAAAACATACACGTCCCGTCATGATTTTCATGAATCGATATTTCCATTCCAATCACTTATTTTGTCCGCACCTCATGTTCCTTCCATCGTTCTCTTGTCATTTTTTGATTCAGCCTCGGTTCCTTTATCCAAGTCACCTACACCTACACCTACACCTACACCTACACCTACACCTACACCTACACCTACACCTACACCTACACCTACACCTACACCTACACCTACACCTCTCTTCGTGTCATCTGATCTTCCTACATCATCTCCTATACCTTCTAGATCTCAGTCCGTACACCCGATGGTTACCCATACCCATGACCATACTCGCAAGCCCAAGACCTTTGCTGATCGTGTTCTTTATCATACTTTCTCAGAATCAACATCAGATATCGAACGCTCAACCTTTACCAAAGCCCAAATATGGCCGATATGGTGGGATGTAATGAGATCTGAAATTGCTGCACTTCACTCAAATGGAACTTGGGTGTTAGTTCCGGCTCCCTCATGTGCTAATATTGTCGAATGTAAGTGGGTTTACCGTATTAAATGTCATCCCGATTGTACGGTTAGTTGTTACAAAGCTCGCCTTGTTGCTAAAGGCTTCTTACAAATTGAGGGTGTGGACTATACAGAGACGTTTAGTCCGGTGGTAAACCCACAACTATTCGTCTAGTTCTTTCTACTGGTTACTCACGAGGTTGGGATGTTCGACAGGTTGATGTTAATAATGCCTGCCTACACAGTGATTTGATGGAAACAATATATGGCTCAACCTTCGGGTTTTGTTGGTCCGAATCGACCACATCATGTTTGTTTACTAAAGAAGGTTCTTTATGGTCTTAAGCAGGCTCCAAGACTTGGTTTTCCAAGCTTTCTACCTCATTGATTGGTTTTGGATTTGCATGGTGTGTATCTGACACATCCTTATTAGTATACCATACATCCAGTGTTAAGTGTGTTACTGCTTATGTCTTGGCATACGTCGATGATATTATTGTTACTGGAAGCTCTTCTCAATTTGTTGATGAACTAATTAAAAAGCTTCATGCACAGTTTTCCTTGAAAGATTTGGGAACACTCGAGTTTTTTCCTCGAGTCCAGGCCATTTTCAGTAATCATGGTCTTCATTTGACACAACAGAGGTACCTTCTAGATCTATTTTAGTGAACTGGAATGAGTCAGTGTAAGCCGTTATCATCTCCAGTTCATCGGGTTGTCGGTTATCTCAATTTTCTGGCATTTCGTTGGATGATCCCTCTCTCTGTTGAAGCACTGTGGGTGCTCTGCAGTATTTGGTGTTAACCAGGCCTGAGATTGCATATGCAGTTAGTAAAGTCTCTCAATGTCTTCAGCGTTCAACGAATAGACACTGGATTGCAGTCAAAAGTATTTTAAGTTATTTAAAGAGCACTAGTACATAGGGATTGGTACTTCAATGTTCTTCTACAACGGCAATTCATGCTTATGCAGATGTTGACCAGGTTGCTCCGATGACTATCGGCCTACTACCGGACATTGCGTGTTTCTTGAACCCAGTGTGATCAGCTGGAGCTATAAGAAACAACACACTGTTGCTTGTTCAAGCCTCGAAGCTGAATACCGTGCTCTTGCACATGCTGCTGTCGAATTAAAATGGATTTGTTCTCTTATTGGTAAGCTTCATATTAGTCTGCCTAGTGCTCCAACTCTATGGTGTGATAATCTTGGCGCTACCTATCTTGCAACTACCGCAATATTTCATCAGCGTACGAAGCATCTTGAGATTGATCTGCACTTTATTCGAGATATGATTTTGACTCGAACACTTTGTGTCAGATATGTTCCAACAACTACTCAAGTTGATATTCTTACAAAAGGACTTGTGCACGATTTGCTCAGTTATTATCCAACTACAGTGAGTAAAAAAACCTCTCTTTCTCTTCTCTTCTAGCTTCTGGTTACCAGACTTTAAGTAGAAAAAGTGACGGTCGAGGGGGTGAGGACCCAGGAGGTTGTGGGATGAGCAATTGAGATTGGACGTGGCGGCCTTAAACATTTACAAGGACATGGCCTACGATAGGAGCACTTGGAGACGGATGACTATGGTTGCATAGCAGACTAGGTTTGGGGATTGTAGCTTACATGGTTGAGCACAAGGGACTTGGACTGGTTGTGGAGTAGAGGGCTGGCATTTTATGATAAAGATGTGCTGTTTGGCTTTACTTGCTTTATGTGTGTTCTGTCTTTGTTATCTTTTCATATGTTTTCAATGCACATACTTGTTAATTGTTACATATTCTTATTTCTTTCTGTGCTTCTTCCACCATGTGTTAGTCGTTGTTCCTTCCACTTGTTTGCTCACACTCTTACACAAGTCGGGGGTCTTAAAACAAACATCTGTTTTACCTTGTTGGGGTAGAGGTCATATTTGCATCCATCTCACCCTATCTGGACCTTACTTTTTGAGTGGGATTTACTGGTTCTGTTTGGTTTGGCTTGGATATTGGTATTTGAGGTTTAGGGACACCAACCGCAGATGGTTCTTATGATTGAATAATTAACTGGAATTAGTAACATCTAATGAGTAAGAAGGTTGCAGATAGATCCTTCTTCATGTGCAAGCAAAACTGAACACAGCAATTGAAGTGAATGCAAATTAATACGATGTATTTAATGTTTGAGAGGTTTTTTCCCTGCAGCTGGTTGGCAGAACGCATCAAATAGTGTCTTCCTGATTTAAACAGATAGCAAATGGCAAGTGAGCAAATGAATAATGAAAGCCAGAAGCAAAAGAGCAATGAGAATCAGCTAGCAAACACCAGCCTTTCATCTGCTGGTGGCTTTAGAGGGATGCTATTTGAACAATATCGTAAAGCCAGAGAGAATGCGGAAGCCTATCCTTATGTATGGGGTTCTTACCTTATTGTATATGGTGGATTTGGTCTCTGGATGGCATATAGATATAGAAAGCTTCGAAACACCGAAGACAGAGTTAGAACTCTTCAAGAGAAACTTCGTAAACTCCGACAAGAGAGAGAGCCAACAAACTCTGCTGCAGTGAGTGAAAATGTAACATCATCTATCAGTAAACCTACTAAATAGTATGCGGGTAACCTTTCTTTGAATTGAATCCATTTTCTCAGGAAAGTGATTTTTGAGATTTTTGCTGACAACTGTGTGTAGACCACATATGATCAATTAGGTCTCTGTACTAAGATTTTGGTCGTACTGCAGAAGTTCAAATTCAATCATAAGTTGGGATCACTTTTGGTGATAGATAAGTTACTTGTTGATGTGAACTTCTATGAGGAGAGTTCTCAAGAACTTAAATATGATTTCAATGTGAACTGCTATAACTGCTGAATTTTGTTGTGAACGAGTCTTGTTAAATGACGTTTAATTATATTATTGCTTGTGAACTTGTTAAATGCTACCTGAAAGATGCTGTATATCTATTGAACTTCGATCAAAGGATAATGATGGGTGATGATTGGGGCTCCTTTGATTCTCCCCCTCATGGAGATCATTTTTTTGGTTTCTAACTTGTTTTGTGTGTTATTTTCACACGTCTTATTGATAAGAGGTGGTGCTGAAGTTTGAAAAGAGAATCAATAAGACTATTTGTTTTTGTAAATTGATAAATGTCTGAATGTGTGTAATCATCTGATTTACCCCTCAGAATGTTGTAATGTTGAATTCATATAATTCCACTTTTCTTAAAAGATACAAGAAAAGGTACCCCAGATAGTAGAAGTCTAGTCCTTGTTTGGTTCAATCTTAGATTAGTTAAGGCATTACCATGGCAAAATAAGCTGTTCGTGGCATCATGTTACAGCACAAGTAAAAGCGGCCATGTGCAATATCAATGTAGTGTTGAGGAAGAAGATGATAGTAGTTGCAGAACAGAAGAATTATCAATTGACCGAGAATGGACTCTTTTTATTGCTTACAAATTCGATTAGAAAATTAAGCAAAAATGGTTAAGGTATCATGTAGCACTATTATGACCTAAGGTATATGGTACAGTTTAGAAGGTTTAAGATTTTGGGTGGCATTGAAGTATTGTAGTGTCCGAATCCACTTCTCCTGTGTCTTCAAAAGGTGTACTGCCACCGTGTCTGGCCAAAGTTCATGTGTACACAACGTGGGTGGGTCGGGATAATTATACATAGACCACTTAGCATTATGCCGATTCTTCCCCCTTTTACCCTCTTGAATCCAATCTCCAAAAACTTTATCTTCGGGACCTTCTAGATGTTTTTTCGGGATATCTGAATCCCTTAGCCACTCGACTATGTCCCATGATATCAAATATCCCATTCCAGACATGTAATGCCCAAAAGGATCCATACTATTACATGGGATAGTATACCCATAGTACAAGTCTTCTCTTGGTAATGGCTTCAAGGACTCTGCTAGCTGATCAAGCCGGAAATACGCATCGTCGTCACCCTTCATCACATAATGGTACGGTGGGTAGGACCCACCCTCATCATTCAGCATATTTGGCAAGCTAGAGAAGTAGGTGTAAGTCTTACCGTTGTTCATGTTCTCTTTGCAGTTCAAGATTATGATGTCGTCATATTGCATTATCTCGAGGGCCACTAAAACCTTCTGGTCTTCTTTTGTTAGGTTGCAGAAGACAAATTTTACGTCGACTTTTGCTCCCACGACAGACTGGGTCCCGTAAATGAGACGAAGGAAGTGGCGGCGGTGGTATTGGTCCGGGAGTGTTAAAATCCCGAGAAGGACACGGATTTCATCGTTTGAGGAGTTTATGGGTAGAAGAGAGTCCTCCAAAGATGAATTAAGAGAAAGTGCACATCTGCTGAACCTTAATAAATGGTCGAATCGGATTTCGTTTATGGAAGCTATGGTGCAGAGAAATGCGATGAAGAGGAATGAGGAGATGATGAACCTGCGGCTTTTTCCCGACTTTGCCATTTGAAAAAAACTAGAATCAGGTATGAATACAGGAAGGGTTATGATGATGATGATGATGATATTAAAGATTGTGAGATATAGAGGTTTGTTGGAAGTCAATTTCGTGATATTGAGTCTAATGGATGGACTTTTTACGTCCTTGAAGGAAGGTGGAGAGAATAAAGAAGCATAAAGGGAAAAGCACCTAACTTTAAGAGTTTTTGCTTGGATGTTGGCCAAAGGAAAGTGAGATTTGGTCAACCAGGTTGTGTGATTATTAGGTATTTCTACATCAACATGGGCTGCCTGCTGAAATTGCGTCAACCTTGCTTCAATATGAATTATGAAGGTAAGGCAGGCAGGGCCAGGAGACGAGTTTCTTCATCATCATCTATATATATATATATATATATATATATATATATATATATATATATATA